GTGTGCAGTATCGCTCTGAGATATATGTTATAGGATAATTTTTGCCCGCCTCCTTGTGTGTGGATGATTCACATATATTTCAATTCTGTTGATTGCACGTTGCAACTTCATATTCACAGCCTAATTAATTTCGCACGTTAGGGAGGCATAAAAAAAACGTATATAGTGGGTGATCGGTTAACGAACACTTTCACGAAAGATTTTTGTGTTCGGATAACGAACACATATTCGGAGGTAATCAAGGAGACACCCCTTAAATTATGGATGAAATTTTGACAACTGCTATACATCTGGAATTGGAGGTGAACGAGGATGACATGGAAGAGCTCATAATGGGACATGAAGATGAACTGACGACAGAAGAACTCCAAGAAATTTTGAATGAAGAACACAAAGAAACACAACAAAATGTGTCTTCATCTAAACAAGAGGAAGACGAAAGAGGACCAATGCCGACATCTGCCATCAAAAATCTTTTGAAAAAGTGGGAGGCTGTCAGAGCAATGGTCTTAGAATGGCACCGAAACCAAGCTGATATCAGTAGGGTTGGGGATCTTTACAACGACAATGATATTAATTACTTCCGGAAAATCCTGAAAAAAGAGAGAAAAGCAATCGACATTGGGCGTGTTCTTCAACGCCCCATAAGCAAAAAATGAAAAGGACTGATTAATATGCAAGAATATATGTGTATGTATTATTTTTTTAAAAACTTACTAAGAAATTATACATTTTTTAAAATTTAATTTTTAGGGAATCCAAAACGAATTAATCGATTTTCACATAGAAGTCTATGGTGAATCGATGATCGGTTAACGAACAATTCGGATAGCGAACATAGTCTTGGAACGGATTATATTCGTTAACCGATCACCCACTGTACTATTTTGCTATGTTGGAAATTCCTGAACATATATAGTAGAGACATTTTAAAAAAATTCCAGTAAATACCGAAAAAATGGTATTTAAACTTGTGAATACCGGTACTAAAAAATTGTACAAATGGCTCAAAATACCGGTATTCGGTATACCGGTATTGCAATCTCTAAGTGTAATCTTTGTCAGATTAATTTACCTGAACTCTTTTAAAACATCATTCTTAAATTACCACACTGATCTAATTGATTTCCCACGTTAATTCATTAATTTCGAAGGGCGATTAAATTTTAATGAACATTGAATTTTACATTGTGTTGAAAGCACTTGTATCATAACTATCCCCAGAGTATCTGTATATTAGTTTTTTGTTTAAATAATTTTGTTAGAGTACCACTGAATATTTATTGAAGTAGAACTCCTCGAACAGAGCTCTTCACTAAAGATCTATTGAATGTAAGATTCGTGTGTTTGGCTGAAGTAGGAAAAAATTCACTCACACATATTTTTTTTCTGTAAATATTCATTAAATCTTAATTAATTCTTTTTTTTTCTTCAATGAAAAAGTTCATATTTGTATGTCTCAAAAAAATACCACATCGCAGTTAAGTGCTCTTATTCAAGAGGAGCATCGTGTACCTTCATACTGATGTCTCTAAGAAATAAAAATTTAATTGAAATGTTTAATGCATTTATAGGTATTATATCATTCACAGAATATTTATGTAATACATACTAATGTAAAGTATTATTTGTACTACAAGTATGTTAAGAAAAATAATATTTATCTGTCTGTCACTCACTTACGAAATCTACGCAGCTATTAGATACACAGACTTGAAATTTGGGAGATATGTAACTTTTGGTGAGTAAAAATCCTAAGGTACCAGGGACATGCCCGAAAGAGTAAAATGGCAAAAATAAGATTCTTTGTTTGTGGGACCTATGTAGGTTTTTTTTCTTTGTTATATCTGAACATGAACATAATTTTATCAAACATATTATCATTTAGGTACCATTTTTATAAAAATATTTCTTGACTATACAAAATATTTTACATACATATATAAAACAGCGAACACAATATAGTCAAATAGTTTTTTTGATAAAATAATTCTATAATTTCCCTGAAAAAACATAAAACTTTTTCTCGCGTAAAATTAGTCTCTCTCAAAAAAATAAATAAATGAAACATTGAAAAAAGAAAAATATATTATTCTTTTTTTTCAAGTAAAAACAAATTAATGATTTACACATTAAAAACTAGTAGAACTATCTTTTAAAATTATCAAAGGGGGCGGGGTTGTTTGTTTACGTTTTTATGATTTTTTTTAGCATTATATTAGATGTATTTTATTAGAGTGAACACATGTTATTCATTTTTAAATTCAGAAAAATATGCACTATTTTTTAATACTAAAATTGCAGTAAATTGAATGTTTATGATGTCCTGGCACCCATTGCCGATTTAACCTCATTTCGGGCCCTAGGTGAAAAATATCTACATGCCCCCTTTTCACTGGTGGATCGAAATTTATAACCAGCACATCTGGTTAAGTTCAGCGTATCCGGCTCTCAGGTCCCTGGGTGCCTAATGGATAAACCGGCACTGCTGGTACCCTTAAGAACGGGTTTTTTAAAAATTCGTCTCCCAAGTAGGGAATGTAAAAGTTAACCAGAGTTAACTGTGGCGCTCCAGTTAGAGAGCACGCAATTATGTGTGTCGCGGAAATCGAGCGATGACGAGTATACTCGTCAATCACAGAGTAAGTTGCGCTGTTAAAACATTGGATAAAAATATGGGTTTATTTTACAAAATTGCAAATTTTATTACTAATTAATTTATTTGTGATTAACATAAACATATATATTACATACATATTACTCGATAAACGTAACCGACCGTAAGTTTTTATGGATATTTATGAATTTTAGAGTGATGGTTAAAACTCCTGGTCTGAGAGACCTAAACGCTCACTGATTTACTTCCTTCTGTAATGATAGAATATTTTCTACCTGTCTTTATAATAATGAAGTTCTGGAGAGGTACTGTAGGGTTGATCCCAGTCCTTTGGTCCAAAGGGCCTTGTATTTTGGATCGCGGTTAAGGGATGAGGATGACGCCTGAGCTGACCCTCCACATTTCCACACCTCGCCAACTTGTGGACTTTGAGCTTTAATATATTTAGCGTACATCAGGGGTCTTTTACTCTGTGTGTCTTCATTATCATCTTGATTGCAACTTCTGACTGGACAACGCCTGACACCAGTTCGCGACCACGATCATTTGGCTTCTGCGACTACTTCTCAGTTACTTAAGTACTTCCATTTAGCGGGTAATTAAAAAGAATCAAAAATAGTGTGTGATTTCTTGTGGAGGAACAATTAAAACTCGAAAGAAAATGTTGAATAGGGTACCTTATCTTTAATTTAAAAAAAAATACAGTATACCCACAAGTGAAAAGTGGACATATATATGTTGTTGCGTCAGATTGAGTGAAACTAGCAGAGAGCCACACCAAACAGGACGATAGGAAATGTACATAGCATACGACGTTTAACAGTGAAACCTATTAGTGGTATACGAAAATAATCGAAAGTAAAGTTGTGCCATTTATTTAGGGATGCGTCAGATCGGAAAAATGCGTGGTAGTACGGTTTCTCAATGCGGGAGATGGGTTTAATGCGGACATCTATCGACGGTTAGGGGTAATCTATGGGTCGAGCACTGTTTAAGTCGAACGTCTGTGAACAGTTGATGTAAAAGTTTTCGAGAAGGGAGGCAAACGATATCGGATCCATGGCAATGTCCCCCCCACACGTCTCTCGTGAAACCAAGGCAACTTTAAGATACCCTTTGGGAAATGTTAGAACACCGTGCTGTCCTGATTGATTCATCAACCTGTTACTTCTTAGCTTTTAGGCCACTTAAGAGACTATTACGTTGCCATTTGGACGATGAAGTGAAGGAAGCTGTGCAGAACTTCCTCAAGAATCAACCATTTTCTTTCTAAAGTGAAGGCATAGATCTGCTACGAAATAATAGGACCAGTGTTGCAACAACCATGACAATTTCTTTTGATTTTTGATAAAGGTGTTCTGTTTATCCAACTTGTCCACTTTTCATTTAAGCAACCCTTGTATGTTTAAATTACGGTATCAAATTCAAATATTGAATTTAGTTTGTTTTTTATTTTCTGTTGGAATGTATATGTACATAAATTTTTAAATTTTAAAATACCTCTTTTAGGCTCCTCTTTATAAACAAATTTATTCCAAAATATCTCGAATTTGACAGCTGTTTGGTGAAGAAAAGAGGCATCGGTGATAATTAGATAACAAGATAGGGGAGGGCAATTGAATGAGTGCGTGTTGGGTTACTTAGGGTGTAATTTGAAATTCAGAAAACTTATGCAAATTCACACCTGTGCTAATTAGTGAAAAAGCATAATTATTGCTGGGTTGGTAGCGAATTTCACGCTAATGGATTTTTAAATAATAGCCCGATGCGCCTCTGTAATGTGCAGAGAAATTAGTGAAATCCATTTGGCAGATCTCATGGTCTTTATACCAAGAGTTTCTAAATTTTGAAAATGAAATGCCTTCTTCTGTCTCAACGAAAGAGTATACAAAAATGAACTACTTTAATGTAATATTTAAAAGCTTTCGTTATTCTACTAGAAAAATCAAAAAAAATATTTGTTCAAATCGCTCGAAAATCCATGAATATTTTTGAGATTATGTTATGGTACCGATCTCGCATAATCAAAAAACATCGCCGATTTAAAAAGTGTCACCAAATGTTATCATCATTACTTTTTCAGTTCCTACTATTAGTTTACTTTATTCCTATATATATATATATATATATATATATATATATATATATATATATATATATATATATATATATATAATCTTGTACAAATTTGCAATTGTTAATAAAATACTTTCTATTCATCTATTCAAGTTCAAATACATTTTTTAAAATTTTTAGTAGATGACACTTGATGCTAATACACTTTTTTCAAATATTAATTCTTTAATTAAATTAAAAAATGAATAAATACTACCAAACAAAAATAATAGTACAACACCATGTATAAAAATGAAAATCGCTCGTTGTGCCCTGTAGCACAATGGGTCGTGCGTTGGACTTCGAATCCAAATGTTTCGAATCCCACCTGGGATGATCTAATTTCTGAGAATGGGATTACTTTTTTGCTATATTATTTTATTAGAATGATTAAATTTAATTAATGAATAAATAGTAGCAAACAAACAAAAAAATAGTCCACCATTTAGAGAAAGGAAAATGGAAAATTGCAAGGAAAAGCGCTTTCTATTTTGTCACTTAATATTGTGATTCTGTCATATGTATATACATATTTATATTAATTGTAATTATTTAATAAAAAGTAACTAAAATAAAAATTTTCTTTGTTGACCTTAGTAGGAATTGACTTAAATTTTATATTTATATTGTTTTGTTTTCAACATGCAGGAGAATGGTTTTCCAGTAATGGCTGTACATCGTGGCATTTGGCAACATCTTTTAATTTAACGAAAATGGTCGAGTGTATAATACGTAAGTACCAATTAAATATTGAATAAGTTGAACATTAAGTACCCTGTAATCATTACAGGATAAATTGTAATCAGTATAGGGTTAAAAATTCATGATTTATACTCAAATACCATTTATTATATCTATATAAAAATCATTTGGATGTGAATTAGATAATTTATATTCATTTTGTTGACATTTTACAAGCATCTAAAAATGATATGTTAGCAGAAAAGATAAGAAATAAGATAGTTTGTTAAAAAATTTAACTTCTATTTTAAACAACAGAAGATTTGTAAAATTTTTCTTAATTTTCTTTAAAGTAATATTAATTTTGGTCAAAAATAATTTAATTATAAAACATGTTGCATACTTGATGAAAAAAAAAATTTTGCAATGAATAATAAATAATGTGTTCAAAAATTAAATGCATTGCTATTAAACTCTTCATGGGAAAAATATAAATTTTATATTTATACAATGTCCTTTAAAAATCAGATAAATTTATTTAAGATGAGATTTTCAGTTTTTAAGTATTTTTAAAATACATATACTAGCATAGATAAATAGATCGAAATGTCGAAAAACGTATGCAAAACTGTTTATGTAAAACTAATCATCTGGTTGCTGTAGCAACCTCTTAAAATATCAAAGAATACTTAAAATCAAGTTTATATAAAAGTTTTCAACAACGTGAGCTTATTTAATCTTGATTTTTATGTTACTATAGCAACGCAGTAGAAACTATTAGATAAAATAAATCAATTTAAATTAAAATACTAAACGGTAAAGCCATTAATTACTAAACAGATTTATTATATAGCCTTTTATTATAGAAATATTTTTTACGGATAGTAAATTTACCAATAAAAAAGATCCCTATCAAAAACTCTGATATGTTTCTTATAATTGTTTCATTTTATGTTTCAAATGTTTGATTTTATAAGCTAGGGCTTTAAAAAAGAATTCTTTATATAAAGTTAAGGTATCCCCGAATACGTTTGGAACCGTGATTTTAAAAAAGCGCATAAATGGCTGATTTTATGATATCTAGGGTCACTTAGATTAGAATATATATATAAAATTGCTTTAAGGACATTGTGAGAGAAAAATTTATTTAAATACAAAATTTTGTCAAAAAATTAACTTAGAATAACATTTTTTCAAAACGCTCTCTTTTTATAAAAAAAATGCTTCTAGAATAATAATATTTTGCTTAGATAAAGTAAAAACTTCTTCACAGAGAGTCTGAACTAGAATTTTTGAAAAATACATTCACATTATTTTCAGAGTTACTACCAATTGAAACGATTATCGGTGTTTTTTTCTTAATATTTCTCCCCTCTGTTGTAGTAAAATATGGATAAATCCACGTCTAAGTTATATATTTCAAAAATTCTAGTTCACCCTCTGTAGAGAGGTCTGGGCTATATACAGGCAAAATATTACTATAATAGATGCATTTTCCGTAAAAGGCGAATTTTTTGAAAATTGGTCATTCTATGTTCATTTTTTGTCAAAATATTGTATTTAAATATTTTTTTATTATAATATTATTTTTCAAACAATTTTATATACGTTTTCTAATCTAAGTAACACCAATTATCATAAATATTATCTATTTATACGCTTTTGCAAAATCACGGCTCCGAACGTAGTCTGATACCTTAAGGTACGTGTATAAAATTGTTTTAAGAATGTTATTGCAATAAAAAATTATTTAAGTACAATATTTTGACAAAAAATGAACTTAGAGTGACCAATTTTCAAAAAATTCTCCTTTTGCGAAAAATGCTTCTTTTATAATAATACTTTGCGTGTAAACAGCTCAAACCTCTGTGCAGAGGCTCAATTAGAAGTGGGTTTATCCATGTTTTACGGCAACTGTGAGGGGAGAAATTTTAAGAAAAAAACGCCGATAATTATTTCAATTGGTTGTAACTCTGAAATAATGTGAATTTTTTAAAAATCATATTTCAGACTCTGGAGAAGTCTTTATTTTACATAAGCAAAATATTTTCTTATTGTTTTAGAAGCATTTCTTATAAAAGGAAAATATTTTGAAAAAAGGGTTATTCTAAGTAAATTGTTTGACCAAATATTGTACTTAAATAATTTTTTTGTCAAAATGTCTCTAAAACAAATTTATACATACGTTGTAATCTAATTGACACTAAATATCATGAAAATTAATCATTTAGGCGCTATTTTCGGAATCACGGTTCCGAATGTAGTCGGAATACCTTAAGATTTACTTTTTCTACATAATTATTTCATGCATATTGTTTATTTTTTCTTTTACCTGCAATCCGAAAAAAACTCGTGTCCATAAAAAATGTTTATACCAACTCTAGTGGTTCACAATATCTGGCAAGAACAACCCACTAAAATTACGCCCCAGTCCAAAAAGAAAAAAAGCAGAACTTTCTCTCGCTACAGAACATATTTTCTATCTAACCTCTGTAAGTTAAGATTTTATCTTACATGTTTCGCTTTTTTTTTTAGCTTTTTTTTAACATCCCATCTGACGCACGTCTCCAACATATTTACAATCGGAACAGCACACCGCGCTGTTCATTTTAATAATGTCTCCTGATATTTACGAAAAAGGCCTATTCGAGATGCATTTTACGTACCTACGGACGTAAAAGCAGCCATAAAGAACATTTCCAAGATGTTTTTTCGACTACGGAATGTTCGCCTTCGAAAAATATCGTTAAAGTTTTGCCTTGGGTTGCTGGCAACCGTTTTGCCACGCTAGAAAGGTTTTGCTATCCACAGAGAAGATTCTTTCTCTTTTTTTTTTCGAATCTTTTTAGTACATTTTGTAACTGAAACGCGGTCCCATGGAACATAAATTATAGAACGTTTCATAATCTGTAGCTAAAGAGTAAAGGGAGAAGACGTAAATGGTTTTTATGTGAAGAGCACTTAGCTGACATGAAACTGCAGAAAGCTTCAGGTACTGAATTTGAATTGGTGAATACATCAGGGCTTTGATGGAATATTTAGCTGATGGTTCTTCCTCTTCAGTCATTGCTTGAGAAGGATAATGTGAATCAACGAAGCTTGAATAAAATTGCTAATGCGTCAATCTTTGTCAATGTTACCTTTCTTGATCGAGGCATGTAAGTCAATAGAATATTCTCAACTACTTAATTTTGCCTTAAAGTTACCTAAAAACATAGTTGTTCTAAATTCAAAGGACATCCACGGGCACATCTCATTGTTTCTATATTACTCTTTACAAGGCGTAGAAAAAAGCTATTTTCACCAGGAAGAGAATGACTTAAAATATTGAATAAGAAACATATTTAAAAAATTTTTTTTTTATTAGGGTTAGTTTAGTTTCAGTTGCTACAGCATAAGCGGATTTTGGCAACAGCAAGTATCGTTGTTTTAATTCGCAGTAGAATGGCTAAGACTGTGCTTCCACATGAATTTCTGAGCATATTCTTTAATAAGGTGGTTTGCGGGAAATTAAATTTAACGCTCCTTTATGTCTTCCATTTAAAATTCAAGAGCATTATGATAATTCTGTAGATTTTATTCAATCTGAAAGAGCAAGAGGTAATGAAAAAAAGTCTCTAGAATTGCCAGTTTCCTCCAATATTTTCGAATATTTTTGAGCCTACTTTAATGATTCGTTGTAAATTTTTTAAGTAAAGAGTGTTTTTTTTTCAGGTATAGAAGTTTAAGTTGTGGCATTACTTTCCAAGATGGTGACCGATTTAACAACTGTCAAGTGATTTATTCTCAGTTTGATTTGGCAATTCATCAAAACGATCATCAAGCAAGGCGTAGATTCGTCGAATGGGCCCAAAACGAGATTGCCGTTGTTCCCGATTTTCATAAGCGAATTTTGTTTAGCGATGAAGCGCACTTCTGGTTGAATGGCTACGCCAACAAACAAAACTGCCGCATTTGGAGTGAAGCTAATCCACAAGTGTATGTCGAAACACCGTTACATCCAGAAAAACTGACTGTTTGGTGCGCTTTATGGGCTGGTGGAATCCTTCTTCAAAAACGATGAAGGCCACAACGTTACAGTCAATGGTGATCGGTATAGAGCCATGATTACTAACTTTTTCATTCCTGAATTGAACAATCATGATGTCCAGGAGCTGTGGTTCCAACAAGACGGCGCAACATGTCACACAGCTCGTGCCACAATCGATTTATTGAAAGACACGTTTGGTGACCGCCTAATTTCACATTTAGGACCTGTGAATTGGCCTCCAAGATCTTATGATTTAACACCGCTAGACTATTTTTTGTGGGGCCATGTAAAGTCATTGGTCTATGCGGATAAGCCACAAACGCTTGACCATTTGGAAGACAACATTCGCCGTGTTATTGTCGATATACGGCCACAAATGTTGGAAAAAGTCATCGAAAATTGGACGTCCAGATTGGACTACATTCGAGCCAGCCGTGGCATTCATATGCCAGAAATCATATTTAAAATGTAATTCCACAAGATTATCTTTCGAATAAAAAAAAATCCATGTCAATCGAATAATACATCGTTGTTTATTGCATCGTTGTTATTATACGTATGGGAGGGGGTGACAAGTGAATATATTAGCGCAGAAACTTTTAAAATTTTTTTGCTCTTTCAAATG